GGTGTGGGGGAAGGGGGGTGCGCTCTGCCATGAGGAAGTTCGGCTTAAAGACACACCCCAGGGGCGTTTCTGTTACCAAAAGTCGTGTCTAGTCCCCACCTGTCGTTTTCCTCCTCAGCATGGCTGCCTAAAAACGCTGCAGGATTTCTCAAACGTGCATGAATGAGTCAAAGCAAGGCTTGTTTTTTTATGAGAGTGTAGCATTATAACATGATATAAAACTCAAAACAGTTGATTTTACATGATATTGCCCCTTTAAGATAAAACATTATTCAATTGGTCCAGTTAAGGAAGAAGCTCAGCCTCCTTCTCTCTTGTCTGCAGTCAAACAGATTTATCATCTTCCTTTGACCCAAGGCTTTGTGACATGGTGTGGGAACAATCATCTCATCTTGAATATGAACAAAACGAAGGAGATGATTGTACAAAGAAGGGAATCTTCGTAAAATGAAGATCATTATGGACAACACTGAGCACCCTCTTCATCAGACTGTCACACTACAACAGAGTCTTAAGATCCACTGTAAGATGAATTGCTACAGGACATTCTAACCTGCCAACAGTCATCAGTATCAATAACAACTATTTGAAGAAAACAGATAATATGATTTACAATAGCATTTAATTTACCTTTGGGATTAGTGAAGTATTTTTGAATTGAATTGAGTCATTAAAGCTTGTGACAGCTTCCTCCAGGTCTGTGGAGTTTCTGTCACTTCTGTATATTCACCAAAACTTCACCACTGGAGGACTTTGTTATTTAAAATGGTTTTATTTTCTGCAGCAAAGGATGTAGATCAGTTTGTTTCAGACCCTTTTTTCTCTCTTGGCTGCATCAGTGAGGCAAAGTTTGGAGAGTCTAACTCAGTGGGACTCAGGCCTCCTGTACACAGCACCAGAGTAGAGATTTTCAGGAGCACCCTCATGTTTGTGTGAAAAACCCTGCTGGTGTTAAACAGCACATGGGCAGATGGGTGACTGAAGGCTGAACTGACAACAGTTAGACTAAATTACACTGTTACACTGTCAGTGTGACAGCTGTGTGGCTGTTATTGTGTTACAGCTGTTTGAACATAACTGTGATCATGCAACCACTGTGCGATCAGTGCACGAGTCAGACCAGCGTTAGGTGTTGCCAGATAAATATGAAATACACTTTATGTCCCTACTTTTCTGTGGACATTTTCACCAATTACAACACTCACCTCAAGCTGCAACAGCCTCACTCAGATGTGTGACATTTTGGGTCAATATACAGTCATTTAAAAGGGGCTGTTGAACAGTTTATCATGTTCTGTGACAGCAGATCTATGTAAACATGATTTTTTTGTTTGTTCACACCAATAATTCTAAAAAATAAAAAACACTGACGTTTCCAGAAAACCTAGTGTAAACAGCCTCAGACCAGCTCAGCTGCACACATCTGATAGATTTGTTGTTTAATGCTTTAAAGTCTGTCCAAAATCTTAATAATCACAAATGTGTCATCTGTTTGGCCACAGCCCTAATGTGCACGTACCATACGTGTTGATGTTGCTGTGTTGCAGTTGGAGATGTTCTGTGAGGTGATGACGATGCAACAAGCTGGATATGTCATGTTGATGGACTACCTGCAGAACAACTACAGGGAGCAGCAGGACAAGTTCACGGGTCAGGTGTTCTCCTCCTACACAGGGACTGAGGAGGTCCACACTCCAGGTTGGTCTCGTCCACATCTTTTATCTCTCACTACAATGTGCACCAAAAGTGTCACTGATTATTCTTTCACTAGCAGCAGTACATTAAAAACATGTTAACATATTGCCTTCAGGCCCAGGCCTCCCTTGAAAAAGAGATCTGAGATCGCATCAGGACTTGCCTGGTTAAATAATGGTAAATAAATAAATAAATGTGTGTATATACACACTGAAGTAAAATCAGGCTCCAGTGTTTCTTCAGAATAATGGGATTTATTTAAAACTACAGATGCTGCCATCTAGTGGTCAAACGTCTGAAGTCTTTCAGTCCATTGCGATCTTAAATAGTTCCTTTTAGTTTTGCTGAGAGATAAATGAAAATATGTGGATTTAATTTGTATGTTGGAGTTCTTCTTCTCAGTATTAACCCTTTGTTGGAGTGCAGCAGAGTATATTTAGCAGGTTATTAGCAGGGTTTGGAGTTGCTGGACGTTCTGCAGAGAAGGAAGCGTGCCGGTGTTTGGAAAGCTTAAACCCCCACCGTGGTGTTTTTGGACTGATCCTCGGATCCTTTTAATCTATGATAATCCCAGACCTGAGAGTGTCTGTCATCTGTGTTGCTGCTAAACTACCTTTGACCTAGATGTGTTCTGAAAAACTGGAAGGAGACATTTTAACACCAACTTCTTTAGTTTTTCTTGAAATAATGTTTATTATTAGAACATCTCATCAGATCATTCCTCGCAGCATGTTAGCAGTTCTTGTTATTGGAGCTGAGGTTAAATCACAAAGATGAACAAGATCAGTTTTTTTTTCTGTCAGCAGTGGATAAAAACTTATCTGTTAATACACAGATTTATAGCTGACAAATCTTTTAATTATAGAGGAAAGAAAAGATTCTGCTGTGAGACTCTGAGACTCCATGTTAGAACTGAACTTCCTGTTTTTCTCATTTGTTTCTGTTTAGTTCTGTTCAAGTTTGATAGCTTTTCTTAGAAAGACAACATTTTTTACATTATTTTAGAATTAGTTTGCTTTGTACTAATCATTTAGATTAAAGAGGACTTTTAATTGGATTTAAATCCAAGTCTGACTGTTTTAACCTAAACTGGATTAAATGTAATTAGATATGAACAGAACAACCTGGGATTAAACCAAATTTTTCATTTGGTTTAAAGCGGTGCCATTCAACTAAATTGCTCCAGGGGCCACAGTTATGCTGCGTTCACACCAAACGCGTTTTGAGCGGCCAAAACGCGCAAAACGCCTCAAGTTGGACGCACTGCTTGGACGTATGTTCACACCGGAATGAGAAGCGGCAGCTGCGGCGGCGTCGGGGTGTGGGAGGAGCCTCTTGATTCTTTTTCCGGTCTGGTTTGTTGTTGTGTGGTAAAATGGCGGATGAAATGGCGAACGATATCGAGACGATCGGCTTGGTGTATCTACTGAGTAAATTAGCACGGCGACGACGTGCAAGACGCAGTGTCTGGGTTCATGAAACAATTCAGAGGCGTCCGGACTTTGGTGAGTTTCACCATTTAATCCAGGAGCTGCGCTCGGACGAGCTGCGCTTTCAGCGGTACTTCCGTCTGAGTTGTGCCCAGTTTGACGACCTGCTGTCCCGCGTTGGTGCCCGCATCACCTACCAGGACACCAACTACAGGCGTGCGATTCCAGCAGAAGAACACTTGTCCATCTGTCTCAGGTTGGTCATTTTCATCAACAGATAAATTGAGCTGTCTGTGTATCTATCAATGTGTGTGTGTGTATGTATGTATGTATATCTATCTATCCATCCGTCTGTCTATATATATATATATA